CCTGGAGGGGGAGGGGGGAGGGCCCTTCATCAGGAGGCGATGGCGGCACCGCCGTGACATCACCCCGCGGCTTATATAGTTGGGGAAGGGTCCGGGTCCCCCGTCTGGTGCCTGCAGCCGCCTGCCAGCGCGCGTGCTGAGGACGCGGAGCGGCGAGGCTCTCTCTCTCTCTCTGTCTGTCTCTCTCTCCGTCTCTCCCCAGGATTTATGGACTTTACTTTCTAGAGGGCGGCGCAGCAAGGATGAGAGCCCAGCTGGTGTGCGTGGTGCTGCTGGCCTTGGCCTCCTGCAGCCTCTGCTCAGGTAAGCCCCCAGCGGCGCTCCGCACCGCCCTCCGCCCGGGCGCGGCCCCGCAAAGCGGGCTTGGCGCTCGCCGCCGGCCCCCGAAGTCTCTGAGCGGTGGGCGCTGAGCCGCTCTCGGAGCCTTGAGAGGGGCCAAAAGAAAGGAGGTGAAGTCGCTTCGGGGTACCACGGCTGTACCCAGTGATCGCCAAGGAGCTGGCCCTGATAACGGGCTCTGGCCAGCATCATTTTTTCGGTCACTCCCATAACTTTCTCCCTTCGTGTAAGCCCTTCCCCCACACACCATCCATACCATGGCAGTTAGTGTAAACTAGTCATTGGAAATATACATCAGTATAGACCATCTGCTTGATTATGCTGCCTTGTTTGTGATTTATTGAATACCATGCATTTCCAAACTATCATAGATATTATAATTTCTGCAGCTCTTATGAATAGTTGCCATAAGCCAAATCAACATGAATATAGATGCACTTTAGTCACTTTTTAGTGACAGCAATACAATTTTAGTATTCTGGGGAAAAAATTGCTCGCAACTGATCTGAAATTATGACAAAAAATGCTGAATCAGATGCAGATCGCACAATAGGAAGGTTAATGTAAATGCATTTCTACTCCAAGAGCAGTTGCTTTAGAAACCTAAAAAAAAAGGGCCATATATTAAAATGCATTGCCTGCACCTTTGGAAAATGACACAGGTAAGTGTGTGTCATTTATGCCCGAAGTTTGTGACCAAAAATAGGTATGGTGACGATTAAACAGGTGTACAGACACAGACATGAAGCAGAATAGGCTTCAAAATCCAGTCCTAACTAACTTGCAAATTACTTTAAACTCCACAAAATTTAAAGAGTAAATTTACAAGTAGCTTCATTTTTCAGCTTCAGTATTCAGGAGGAGTCAGAAGTCCTAATTCTCGCTTTAGATGAAAGTTTCCAGTTTGTATTTCCCTGCAGAAGAAAAATGTAGAACACGTAGTATCCGCATTTTATCACAGTTTAAACATAATTGTTCTGTATATTATAGAGAACTGGTGATCTTAGTGACAAGGCTTAATGTTTATTATTTTCTCCCCATATATTTGAAGCTTTTTAAACAAATACTTGACTAGTATTTTCAGTGAGGCAATTTCAAATTCAACTGTTTGTAGAGCCTGAATGAAAGCCCACTAAAATAAAAAAAAAAAAATCAGTGGAAATTAGAATGGGCTCATAAAAAAACCCAGAAACAAAATTGTATGTGTAACTGACATGATGGTTTATTTGCTTGAAAATTTGAAATTACATTTAAATGAGAAATGGCATGGAGAGGCTTGTGTGGAGGGGCCAAATCAGTTTTAACTAATATAGACAGTTATTTCATAAAGAAAATGATCATTCATTTTAATTTTCTTTTGAAAATGTTTGCTCTCAGGGGAAAGTGTGTACTTGTAGAATGTAACTATTCCTGTAAAATGTCAATATATGAATAGAAGCTATATTTCTTGTCAATAAGAAGTGAATCAAGAGGACATCAAACTGTGTGAATTTCCCTCTGATTTGAACAATAATGTGTAACCAGACTTTTTATACATTGCTCTCTGAGAGTCTGCTCTTTTTACACTTTTACCCCTCATCTGTCCCTCTCACTCCTGAACTACCTGGATGTGCTCCCTTCTCCTCCTCCAAGCCTGGCTTTATTCTTCAGTCAAGGAATCTTGACCAGCCTCCTAAATAATGTCCTCCAGACTTCTTTTCTCAATCAAAATGTTTCTTAATACCTACCTACCTTCCACGTCTGCAGCTGTCTTCCAGCCTCGATGGCGTGGAAGCTGTCTTCCATCCTCTATAGAATATAAAAACCAAGTGCTAACCAGACACAAGTCCTTTCATTGTCCTCAGCTGGTATGACCCAGGACACCACAAATCATGATGCTGTCACACGTGTGCTGCTCACCCATTCACAGGAGCTGCTGCTATCAGTAGAAATTCAGCTGAGGTGATCTTGTGCTGCCAGCAGAACTTTGGCTAATGGTAAAGCGGTTAAGAGATCGGGTAACACTGACAACCAGTAGTGCTGAAAGGCCTGAAAGGCATTGGGTTTGTGATTAGTTGCTAGTGATTTGCTGTAATACTGATCTACAAACCAGTCTTAATATTTTCAATAACAACTCCAATGAAAAAAGTAAGAATGAACGAAAGTAGTGCGCTGGTAATGCAGAGGTGAACAGGAGCATCACTATAGAGGAAGATGGGCATAACACACAGAAGTTTTTGATGACCTGAGTAATAGAAATGAGAAGCAGTGCAACAGTACAAAATGCAATAGCTTAGGAAATAACAGAAGTTCCTATTAAAAGCTCCTTTTAACAGAAGCAGAGCTGTTGGAAATATCTGGGGAGATAAAAGACTTGGTTGTATTATCTGACTTTTTTTTAAGAGATACTAAAGTTTTTCAGCGATGAAAGACAAACAAAATAAAAAAATGTGTAAGAGAGCTACTTCCTGTAGTTAATGGTAAGCATTAAGGTAGTTAAGTACTGAGGCTTCTGATCCAAACTGTACTATGCTGTGCTGTTGTGAGATCACATCAGGCACAGAGGAGGGCCACTCTGATGAGTTGGGGAATACAAGGCTATTACAACAGAGGAGAATAGCTGAGAGTCTCATAGCTCTGGGCATCGCCTTTCAGTGAAGTATTTATGGGATTTCCAGGGGAATGGTTTATGTCCAAAAGGCACAGTGATCTTGCATTTGTTTGCTAATCACCGTGTAAGCACACCCTAAAAATCTAAGCTGGGAAGGGCTGTGATTGCTTTCAAAAAATACATGAGTTGGGTAAATATTACAAATAGAAAGGTATCATTTATAGTGAAGGAAGTTATATACAAACCATTAATAAATTTGTAATTAGAAATAAATTAGGCTTGAAATTAGAAGGTGAATAACCATTGATAGTTTGGAAGAATTCTCCAAAGAAGAAATACAGTGGTGGTGGTGGTGAGATCTTGTTATTAAGATTGAATGTGATTGATTTTTAAGAATATTATAATGCTTGGCTTTCGTGTGCTAGCAGAAGTCTGACAAGTTAGCACACGTTTGTATAAAAGATCCCTTGCAGTCTCATGTTCTGTGAAAGGTAGTGACGCAACATGGTGATGATCCCTGAAATGAAGGCATAGGCAGAATCTATCCATGGATTCTGTGGTGGGGTGTTACATGCCAACAGCATTAATCATTTTAATTAAAGTGAGGTATGACTTATATGAATATGGAATAGATTTTGGTTTAGTTTGGTTTTAAATATAAGCAAGCATATCATTTGGCTTTGGACTGCTAGTATTCCAGGAAAGCTAAAAGCCATGTGGAACTCTGTTTCGCCTGAAGACTTAACTGATTTCTATACACATCTCATCTTTGAGCTGTGATTGCTGCTACATTTTCAAGGCAGCAGGTTTTCCTTGTGATTCTGTACAGCACAAAGCAGAAAAGTTTGTGTCTGTTTTCTCTTTCTACAGCAATTTTTAGCCTATTCACCAAATCACAGGTCTTGCACGTCTGCTGAGCTATCAAAGGTTGATTAAAGTAGTAAAGAAAATCCTAAGGCTTTCAGTCAGAATACTTTCTTTTGGTGTATGTGTTGTCAAGAGCTTGTATCACAAACTGGTCAAGCTCAATTCCCTCATATCAGTAAAAATATTCTTAATTTAATCAAGAATAATCAAGACTAAATCTTGCCAAGTAATCATAACTGCCATTCACTTATACACTTAGCTGCTACTTAAATAAATATTCTTTGAAAATAAATATCCAAAATCTTCTTCCAAAGTAAGCAGAGATGACAAATAGTGATTATGAAAATCATACTGATTTTAAATGAGGAATATTGCAGCAGTTTTGTTTACTGAAAGGGCTGTAGGTTAGTGGGCTTGTCTACCAGTGAACTGAGATTAATGATTCATGTCATTCACTTCTCTAAGCTTGATCATGCTTTAAAAAGGTAGTATCCATTTTAACATAATGTTGCTGTTACCTGAAGACTCCTCACAGTCCCTCTAGATCACTTCACTGTGTTTTTATCTAAGTTGTTTGTTTGGGTTTTTTTTGTTTTTCAAAATTCATTGATATATCTAATTCTGTATGCTGAATTGAAATGTCCGTAATTTATGATGAAATAATAAACATATGTTTCTGGTTTATTCCCAGATTCAGAAGAGGAAATGAAAGCATTAGAAGCAGATTTATTGACCAATATGTACACATCAAAGGTAATTATTTTTCCTCTTTTAGCTGACGGGTAGGGAGCAAATGAATTCTCATTACAAACCCAGAAGTCTTTGCATGAAGTAATAACCTATGGTCTAGACCAAAAAGTTCAATGCTAGACATTACTTTGGTGCAAGATTTTCTCCAGTTCAAAGGAAATTTGAAGGTGTTGATGTGACACACTAAAAGTGCTCCTCACTAGTAACGCTGATACTTTCATTAAACTGTCAAAACTGTGTTAATGTGCAGAGATGTAAATTTATATAAGGAAATGTGTTTTGAATAGGATTATGCCTGATGAAAGCTAAATTAACCTTGAGTCAAATCCGTAAGTGCTATTTTTATGCAGAACTTTTCCTATAAGCATATAAAATTAAGACAGTCATAAAGCAAAAACTATTAGTACATATGCTGATTTTGGTTTAGGAACTTAATCATAGTGTTCGTATAGGAACATGGGGACATGACTGTGAAAATATTAACCTGATAAATTACATTTCCTTGACAAGTTGCAAGACTATGAGCGATGTACATGTTATTTAATACAAATAGACAAAAAATCAGTTCCAATCTCATACTGCAAGGTGAAGTAGCAAGTGTTGCACATATGTATTGAACAGGCTGATAGACAAACACTCTCTCAACACTGTTATTTTCCATGAATGATCTAAGAAATATATATGTCTAATATTTCCTCAGCAACATATTAAAGAACAAACCCTGAAACAGGTGCCATGGACTTAAGGTTGAATGCTTTAGTTCTTTGTTCTAATGAAGTTCAAGCGGTACTTAAATTCAATGGAAAATAAAATGAGAAATGAAAAATTTCCCTAAAAAAAGAATTTCATAAGCCAATGACTAGTTGAAGGTTAAAGACAAAACCTGCCTGGAAGAATTCTGTATTTACTGTATTTGCTTATATGTGAACTTTTTCACAGGATCCTTTGAATAGACTAGAATAAGAAATGAGGCCAGAAAATACATTGTTTTGATCTGGTCTGGCAGTTCTTAGGCTCCCATGTTCTTTACTGGCATGGTAATTAACCTTAGATGCCAAATAAACCTGATTACCACTCGCTTCTTTAAGGTACAGAAAGACTTAATAGATATTATTTTCCTGAGACAAATTTAAATGTAGGGGACTGACAAAAATAGTTCTTTCTCTGTGTGGCAAAGCATAGTATGCCTTGGGAGGAAACCCTGCAGCTATTGGTATTTCTGCTACTGACTAGTGGAACTGAACCTAAATTCCACTTCCATCTTTTTGTCCCTCTCAGCACAGAGCACAATCTCAGGTAACTAAAAATGCACAAATATAGTGCACCAGCTAATAATGTAATGATGTTTGCCATCATACTCTTATATGTTGTTTAACAGCATGTAGCTTGCTATTCAATTTTCTTATGGTATATACCATAAGTCAAGTGACATCTGAAGTTCACAGAAGCCGTAGATGCATGGTGGAGACATTGATTTAATTCTACATTATACTTCCTTAAATCACCATCTAAAACTCATTAGTTCAATATGTATTGTCTCTTGACATCAAAGTAAGGCATGATGGAACCACTAAAAAGGGTGCATAATTGCTTCTACAAGAGGCATACCACTATGCCATTCATTACTGAAATGACAAATTCTTTTTATTTTTTTCTGTTGTCCTCTGCTAGCTTTTAACCCTCATCAGAACCAAAGTATGATTCTGGTGTGAGAGACAAATTTGAGGATGGTATGTATAATAATTGTCTTGTAGTGTGCCTGAGATCTGGTTTCAGTTGAGGGCAATTACTGTTAAATTTCATTAACCATGTTTGACACTGACTTGGTAATAAGCAGCAAGGGAAATCCAGACAATTTAAATAGCATTAAGATAGGGGAAAAAAAAGAAAAAAAAAGAAAAATTTATGAAAGCTCAGATCTAAAACCACTGAAAAGTGGATTATCACTTGTGGTTCTAGTATTTGACAGAAAAAATCTTCATACTTGTAAAGTATAGCATCAAGACTACAGCTAGGGTTTAAGCACACACCTTTTGCAACATTCAGTAGTCTATCCAATATTATGGAAAGAGTTACCATATGCTTTTGACTTCACAGACTGCTGTCCAGTGTCTACTGGCCCTTTTCAAACTGCTCTTTAAAGTCTTCTATACGCTGAATCACTCTCAGTCTTTAAAGAAGTATGTCCATGCTTATTACCTTTCTTCAACATTTAATACAATATTACCCTTCCCTGTTGTTACACCTCAAAGAAGATACAAGGATCAAACAAGTCCCTAAAATGCTTTATCTGTCTTTCCTCTAGGATAAAATCCAAAGAGTCTTTTGGAAGATTTAATAAGACAACACAACCTGAAGTGTCACAAATATGCAGACAGTTATCTGCTGTCTCTCTTTTGTATCAAATAGATAGCTCTATTCCCAGCTTCCTAAATGGTTTCCTGAAACCATCACTTGCATGAAGAATGTCCTGAACTCAAACAAGATTGAGATGATGTTAAAGAAAAAAAAAAAAAGAAAAAAAAAGAAAAAAAGAAAAAAGAAAAAGTGTTTCCTTGAAGAATATATCATCACTAGGATATACTCCACCTTTGGGATCCTCACTCACATTAATTTTCTGAAGTCTTGGGCCCTCAGCTTCTTACTGTTGTAGGATGCCTGTTTCTGACTGTATGTGCCCAGACAGTTTAGCTTCCTTGCCTGAGGCAGATGAGGTTACAGCTGCCTAGGAGTTACTGGCTTCCTGACTCAGTCATCACATAAAAAATCATTACATTTACAGGCATTAGTATACACCATGGAAGAACTGTAACAGAAGTCAGTACCATATCTGCTTAAAGACAGAGAGTATTTTTGTTATTTCTATGGTTACACTGTGAACAAAATTCAACTACTATTCTGAAAGGGAACCATAGAAATCCTCCGTTACCTTGGATTTTACTTGGTTATGAATTTGTTTTTCATTTGTTTTCACTAGATAAAGACAAGAATATAAAAAGCAGAGAAATTAACTTTCTTATTGTAAAAAAAAAAAAAAAAAGGCATTTGGGAGGTATGTATCATAATATAAGAAATATCTTAAACTATCAGGGGTATCATTCAACCAGAAATTGAAAGAAAAAGATATCATATAAGTTATAACTTGGGATTCTCTCTAATCTTTCATAGGATAAGCCTGTTGTCAAAGAAGGAAATATTCTCAAGCTTGTTTCAGTTTCTTAGATGATCTAAAATTCTAAATTTAAAGAGCTCCATGTTCAGATAAAAAAAGAATTCACTCTTGACTGAAATTCTTAATGCTTTATAGTCTCATTCTGTGAGCTGGCAGAAGTGTAAGTAAGTCAGAAGCAGGTATACCCAAGTAAAAATACTTTGAAGTGATATATGCGTGGTATTAATGGGAATTAGACTCCCTTAACAAATGAAGTATGCTTGCAGGCAGCACTGCAAAATTTTTTTCCTCTAACCTTATAAGTAGCAGCTAAGACCAATTTCACCTAAAGAAGTCTGCTATTTAAGTATTTTACTAATATACAGAGGAAGGTTTCTTTAAACATAGACATGCATCAGGCTAACATAAAGTAGTGACTTTAGATCAAAAAGATTCTATAAATTATGCGAGAAGGCATAACAAATTTCCCTGTCCTTTCCTTTTCTCTTCTGTTCCCATCCAATGGAATATTTTTGGGTTTTTTTTTAACTCAGAACTCTCACTTGCTCACGTAGCACTCCCCCTAGATTTTATTCTTCATTGCAATTTAGCTATTGTCGTGCTAGCTCACATTTCTTTTTGTATACCCAGGAGAGAGAAGTGCACTGGAAAAGCCTCCTAATCTGTCATGGAAAGCTCCATATTTTTGTATTTCACAAATATTTTAAAATAGACGAAGTAAGATTTTAAAATTGCAGTGAACACTTGCTCTTTTTGCTAGTTTAACTTCTGTTAATTAAATTAGACATTCTGCAAAGAGGTTAATTTTTGTTTTGAACCTGTCACATCTTTTCAAATAATTCGGCAGACTAATTAGGGCACCTAGATGGGACAACAGATGAGCTCAAAGTAAACAATGTAGAAACATTTTCAAGCTTCTGAATAAGATTTGAGATTTGTTTTCTTCTTAGCTGCAAAGCAAAATACTGTTGTTGGGGTTTTTTTGAGCCATGTCAGGAATCTGAAAACACAGTGGTTTTGTTAAAGGGCTAAATTATTCTTATTTTGAAAGGCATGCATATATCAGATGTATATTCGAGTAATGATTACGGGCAAAGGGGAATTTTTTGTAACCAACGCTAATAGAGATGCCAGCTTTTCTTATTTCTTCCTCACTCCTCTGCATTTTCTTTCTTTTCCCTCAAAAAATAGTGAAGTGTGCTGAATATGCATAAATCTTGCATACAACACTCCTTTGTTAGGAAGGTGCTTTAAAGAAACAACAGATTATGTGATTATCTTATGTTCAGCTAAGTAAGCACTGCATCCACACTCTTAATTAATGCTGTCAGTACGTAAAAGGCAATGTCTGTGTTAATGTCATACCTATATTTAACTTTGTACATCCAGGAAAAGAAGTAACTACATTTCAGTTTATAGGTAAAGTGTTATCCTAATGTGCACAGCCAGGAAGCCCTTGGCAGTAATAAATAGAAATTTGCTATTTGGCTTTTGATTGGAGATTGCTATGTCACCAGTTCTAGTTTAAGGAAACTAATTTCTATATTCACCACTAAAAGGAATACAATTTGAAAGAAATAATTAATAGTGGGAGAACCAAGAAAGTGGCAAAGATATCAAAAGAATCATAGAATCATAGAATTGTCAAGGTTGGAAAAGACCCTTAAGATCATCGAGTCCAACCGTTAACCTAGCACTGCCAAGTAAAAGGAGTGAATGGGGTAGGAATTAGGTTTTTCACTTACTTTTTTCTATTAATAATCAAAACTAAAGAAGACTACTGCCACAGCTGCTTGGAAAGAACACTACCAGTAGAAAAGTAAAAATTATTTTTCTCAATATTTTTTAAAAGGTTTTAAAAGTTAAATAGCTCCTAAATAATGCCGGATACTGCAGCAAGCAAAATTTGAGACAAACCATGGTGTAATTTGTCTATTTCTGTCTTTCTGTAACATCTCTAAACAGGTCCATTACGGACCACCTAAATACAGTTGGTCTGAGTTTTTCTGTCCAGTTACCAAATCAGGAATACATTGTTTGCACAGCTCTGTTTCCTCTTTGCTCCATCTTCATCTAAACCTGTAGACCTTCGATTCGCATCTCCCAAGCTCATGACTCTCCAGCATCCAAAACTCCTGGGGCTTACAGATTCCATAACTTCAGACCCAGCCTCATCAGACAGCTTGCCCTGAAGCAGGGACTCCATTCCTTTTCTCAGGGAATTTTGAAATGACTAGTATTTGTTCTGAACTGGGGAGGAGCGTCTAGTTAACCACAGGCATCCACCTTGGATTCCAGTACTGGGAATTTATCCAGTGGTTTTGACTCATTGTCCTGATTTACACCTGTGAATTTATATTATATTAATTTCCATCTGTGTTTTTGTTTGCACCTGTGCAGAAAGACTATGAAATGCTACCATTCTGGTTTGGTAGCAGTTTACTTTTTCATCGTGTATGTCTACCTGGGGGGTAAGGCTGTGGGGAAGCAGACTTGGTGTGTTTAATAAATGAGTTGTCCTAATTTCAGCACTCTCTAATTATTGTCTAAAAGTTGAGCAGATGAAAAGTACTTCAAACACACAAACTTATTCCTACCAAAATGTTTGAATGTCACACATTATTACTAAAAAACAAAACAAAAATTGCAACATGTTAAATAGTGGGTATTTGTATTTTCAGATTAACAGAGCAAAACTTCCTTACTGGAAAATGACCCTGCTAAATGTCTGCAATCTTGTCAATAACATAAACAACCAAGTGGGGGAAACAGTAGAGGTAGATGAAGAGGATCTTGTTTCAGGAAGACAGTTTCCTGCTGCTCTGGATGGCTTCAGCTTGGAAGCAATGCTGACAGTATATCAACTCCAGAAAGTTTGCCACAGCAGAGCCTTTCAGCATTGGGAGGTAAAACAAACTGTCACAAATGTATGTTTCAACTGCTATTAAACTCTCAGGCTCTGTTTATTTTAAAATCCATATCCATGTGACCTCCATCACATTGTCTGAGCTTTCCTTCCCTTTTTTATATTCTCTAATACCTCTAATATGCCTCTCACTGAAAGAGTTGTGAATTAATGTAGTTTCTGACAAGCTGAGTGTCTGTTTTTGTATAACAACCCACGGATAAATGAGAACTATTCTTAACTACATACTTTCTCCACTCTTTGTAGACATTCCAAGGAGGCAAACACATAAAAGTGACCTCTATGCCAGAACACAAAACTAATATCTGCTTAACAGATGTGAAGTTACTGCAGATTTATTGAGGCATAAATAAATGTAGGCAGAGTTTCTGAAAACCCTTTTAAGGCCCTAAGGCAAACTGGATTCAAAACGCATGGACACATGCCCATGTGTACATGTAATTTTACCAGGTACTCTGAGCTTCTTATCATTGCTAGGAAACAAGTAGCAAGGGAACTCTTGTTTTTCACTTCCCCACACTTAAAGAGAGCCCTGGAAGTTGACATTGTGATTGTATGAGGATTGCTGCTCATAAACAGTGATTGTTTATAGTCCATTTGTGATATTTATCTTAGTGCAGTGATCACACAGAGGCACACTGGGCACAATCCACTTGCGTTGTTATATATTACACTAAAAGCTGCTTTGCGTAGCAAAAAATGTTATGTCAGTGTCACTACCCACTTTCTAGTAAACCCAGTTTCTTCAGCTATTGCAGGTTCATGGACAGTCTGGCTGAATCTTGATCCTCTTTTGTTTGTTGAATCACAGCTCTGTGTTTGCAGGCTTATTCTCAGTCCTTCATATTAGCTAGCATGGTCCATACAAAAGACTGCAACATCTTTGAGAACCAGAGTTTTCTGAGGACTCTCTTCATCAGTACATTTATTGTTGAAAAGGAGCTACCATAGAACTGGCTATATGCAATAGCCCATATGACTTAATCACAGTTCCTGACTTTGCAGCTGCATCACCTCTTGTGGTGGCTGGGGATCATTACTCATAACAGTACTGCATGCAAAACTGGAAAAAAATACTCCTCTCTCAGCTTAGGAACACGCTTATGCAGTGCAGAAGTTTATAAGACACGATAAAAGAAGAAGGGATAGAGCCAGAGGGAGAAGGATTGAAGAAGGCTTGAAATACACAATTTATGTAATGAAAGAAGTTCTTGTGATCTTATTCAACCAGGATTGACTCCAAAGTCTGTTGAAACCATGAGAGTCTTTCCATTCATTTCAATAGAATTTAGATGAGCACTCATTTATTAAGTAATTAAGTGAGTAACAGAGTTTGATTGCTTAGGGAAATACTGAGGTGAGTGTAAAAATGTTTTCAGTTTAATGCCTTTCAGCCAGATGGTAGGACTGTACTTGACCATAGAAGAACGTGGTGAGAGAATGGATGAAATCTCAACAGACAAAGCAAGAAAAAATCTGAACAAAACACTTTAAAAACTCCGAGTAAAACTCAAAACACAGTTATATAAGAAATTTTGATTGACAACATTTTGGCTTTCTTGTGCTTTATTTCATTTCTTATTTGTTTATTACACATTTTGATTTTTTTAGCTGTAGGAAGTTGCAGATAAAAATATTGCTCAAAAGCTGAAACCAGCAAGCAGTGGGTGTTTTAGGAGGTGTTTAGCCTAAATGAGTGATTACAGAGTGACAATCATTAGGAAGTTTTCAGTCAATTTGAGTTTTAGTCCAAGGAGGACATAACAGCTTTTCTCTCTGGTCAAAACCAATGATCTGATTTGTTTCAGTGGAATTTAAATATCATCTCCGTAGGATTCAGCTCATCTTTAGCCTGATGTCAGTTTTGTGTCTTGAGTTTTGGGCTTTTTTTTTTTTTTTTTTGAAACCCACAACTATTATGGTAAAGATTTCTCTTGGTGGCAGATGTTAAAATAAAGTTTTATAAAACTTTCTAGGAATTGATAATCTTTATTACCAAAAAAAGCTGGTAACAGTGTGTCTTTTCTTGCATCCTACAGTTACTTCAGCAAGATGCTTTTGATCTAGAGAACTCAAGCCAAGACAAGGAGATAATGAAAAGAAAAAATCCCTATATTCTGAAACGGCAGCTACATGTGAACAAGGCTAGAAGACCATACATACTCAAGAGAAGTTCATATTACTGATGCAGCAGAAGAAAACAATGTATATTTAGTTTATAGGTAACTGTGCATTATGGTTATCTTATTTAAATCTAAAATCATACTTGTGTGAAAATATACTATGGAAAATCATTAAGATGATAACATAATTGTGTCTTTTTTGCAATTGCTGTTTCTTGATTGTGATTTTTTCCTACTTGAGATTAATTGGACCAATACATTTGCAAATAAATCTAGTTTCTAAGCATGATGTATTGTACAAAACTGAGATTTCAACGTATTTCCAACAATATTGTAGTCATTTCCTATTTTATAAAGCACACCGACATACACCAAGTAAATTGATATTGTCCATAAAACCTACTGAGAATCTTACAATTTCTTAATGCAACACCTCAAACATATATATGCTTGCAAATTTTTGTATAATACACTATTCAGAACTGCCACAATATTTTATATATTGGCAAGTTTAATTTCTTAGGGATTAGGTGTAAGGAAGGAAGGAAATACTATCAGCTAACTATTAAATGGCAATTTCAAAATTCATATTTTAAGTAGCCTGCTTGTAAATGAATTTTAAGTTCTTGACTCCTAATTTGCCACTGAAGAGTCATAATTTAAGAAAACAATACATAAATGAGACTTTAACAAAGTATGCTAGTGAGAACAAACCTAGATGTGCTTCAGAGTCTTGTGTATAACCAACTAAATAAGGAAAACAGTTTATTAAATCAATAAAAGAATTTACAGTGTTTACCTAAATCTATGAATGTTCAGGAAAAAAAAATAAAGAGAAAAAAAAGAAGCTGATTCATGCTCCTGTGCTGTCACTGTTAAAGTCAAAATACTAATCCAGTTATATGAGAAACTTGGGAGAAATATTTGAAAGAGGAATTAAAATGAGAACATCTTAAACTTACAATTAAAAGGCATTTGCTTTCCCTCCCTCTATAAATTTGTAATAACAACACGCAGTTTCAGGGGTTAGAGACAGTCTTGGAAGCTGATGGAGAGGGAAGCTCCCAGCATGGAAAAAATTTTTTTCAAGCTATGAGGAATCAAGTGCCACCTGAAACATACATATTTTCCAGCACTGTGTCTGTGATATGTACATGAAACTTGGGATCTCAATGATCCTGGGTTCCAGTCTGGAGGAAAACAGTCTGAAAGAACTGGGTGTCACAACAACGGTCAAAATAGAGGGATAGTCCAAGATCCAGGAAGCCTGGATGCTCAGACCAGGAGGCAAAAAATGGGACAGACATTGCTTTTGAAAACCTACCTGTTTTCTGTTTGAGGTGTTTCCTCAAAGCAATACTGTTCCAACAAATTGCCAGAAAAAAAAAGAAAACACACAGAGAATTTCCAAATCCTCTCACAGGTCAGATCTTTTGTCAATTACTATTAAACATATACAGGGATATACATAGAAGAAAACATACTCATACCAATGGTTATGCCAACTTTGTTATATGGGGAGGGATGGGTTTTTTACAGTAAAATGTATTTTCACTACGTTAAAGCCAATTATATTTCCTTTTCTTATTGCAAATGTTATTAATCAGTTTATTTATTCAATAGCCACTAAATCTATGCACTCACAAGATATAACTGAGCATACACTAATTACTGTAATAAGCATTATGACTTGAATAAAGCAAAGCACTTAAGCACATTTAGTCTCAATGTTTTAAAAGCTTAATGCACTTAAGGGCTTTGCTTAAATAAGGTTCTAGTAGATTCATACCCTTTATTTTTTTTATGAAACTGTCGTAGAATTAGACTGGAGACACGGTATGCTCTCAAGTGGCTAAGAAACATTCCTCTTTCCAACAAACCTACAAGCTCTCTAGTCCTATTATGGACACTTTAAATTCTAAATTGCCTGTTGGTCTGAAATAACAAAGCAGAACAGAATTCATTCCAAAATTCACTGCTAGCAATATATGAGGAAAAAAGGAAAGAAACTTCAGATCATTATTTCATGGTGAATACAGAAGAATAAGACAAAGAGAAATAGATTGCCATGATATTTTTCTCTTATGTTCAGTTTAAGAGTATAAAAGTTAAAAAAAAAAGGAGGGTAAGGTAATGTGGTTACCATCAGATAGACAATGTTAAAATTTTTGAAAACAAAAGTACCCTTCCATGTTACGTTTTGAAGGTGGTTTAGATATTCAGGGTGATGGCAGAGGACCTCAAATAATGATTAACTGTTCCACCCCCATCTAGTGCTCCACACTCAAGTGGGACTTACCCTGTGACTGTATACTTGTTCCTTGCAGTGCAGAATTAACAGATTAGCCAGTCTGACTGGCTGAAAATGGCTTAAAATAACCCATTTCCTTTCAGCATGCTGTGAATCCACACATGGTCAGCTACTGTGTGTCACTGGAGGAGGCAGAGCTTAAAGTATGGCAGGAGGTAGCTTATTCAGTTGTTCCCTAGCCCCCGATGGAGGTGTTCAGGGAGCTGTCAGAGGAATGTCATCCAGAGTGAGAGACAGTCCTAACTAGATGAGGAAACAGTATCCATAATTGTAACATGGCCAGTAAAGATACAAAAGTCAATGCTGGCATTTCAGCTTATTGGTCATTGGTGAAAAACAAGCGTAGCAGCATTAAAATGTTAGAAAACACACTTAAACCATACAACTAAGCCAGATATGCAGAACTGTTGGGGGATATTTTGATGTCTAGGGGACCCTTATTTTCTTGACATCTCTTCTCACTTCTAGCTGTTGCTACCTCCTGATGACCTCACTGCTATGGAATTGCAGCCTTTCTTTAGCCCTCTTTTTTGAATGATGGCAGCAAAATATTAGGCAGGCTTATGCATATTTATCTCTTTTTGCACAGTCTTTCAGTGGCATCCTCGGGGTATCTGCCTTGGCCCTAGCTGTGCATTGCCTTGCAAAATGAATGCTGTATTTGCAGCAGCAATGGGTGTTGAATGAAGTTCAAGCCAAAGGAGGCCCTCACAATATGTAAAGATTTGTAAAGTCAGACAGCTTTTTTTTTTTTTCTTTTTTCTACAGCTCATAATTGCCTTAAGTTTAAAAATGTTGTTTTGAAGACCATTAACTCAGATTGCTACCTTGGCTTAAAGAACTGCTTCTTGATATGGACAATTTTGTTTTATAAAGGCAATTACTGAGAGATTTGCTGTCTGTCTCCTCAGAGGAGTACATTTTTCCCACATATTCCATTGCTGTTGTCTTTACGAAGTTCATAGATGAATAATTATACCAATTATTCAGAAACTTTATACTGAATTATTTCTCATACTCCTAAAATATTGGATATGGTCATACAGAGCAATTGCAGAAACCTCTCTGTTATTTCTAATGTAGAATTAAAAGTAACTAGATTTAATTTGATTTTATATATTTTTAATAGTTATCATCCATAATCTTACAAATGCCCTATAGAAGAAAAGTAAAACAGAGAGAAATGAATAATTTTGTCATCTCTGAAGCATATATTTGTTAGGTTTTTTTTAAAAGAAACATTAAAAAATAATAGTTACCATTCTCACAGTTAAATGTGGTTATAAAATAAGTCTCCAGATTCCTTGAGTCTTGCTTGTGGTATATTATAAAATTTGCTGTTTTCTGTCTTTTCTATTATAAGTCTAAACTTTGTTCTATGTTTTAAGTAAGAGTTTAATGGCTGTGGTCTGAACAGAGTGGATGAAATGTGGTGTTTGCAGATTAAAAGAGATTTAATTTTGCGATGTATGATTGTGGCTGTGCCTCAGACCCTACTCTTAACTAAGACACAAAGAAAACATGTTAATTTAGTCTAGATAATTAGTTATCAGTTTGTACTATGCAGCACCAAATTGAAGATGCAAGCCACCACTATAATTCTTGAGTCTAGGAGGGCAGAAGGAGGAGCAGGTTCTTCTGAAATTCCCCAAGGCTCCAGACTGATCACTGATGTTGTCCACATTCAAAATATTGGACAGACTGAAAGCAGTCATAAAACAAGAATTGCAGAGAACCTACAAAATAAAGTATACTGACTTCTGTGACATAGAGTCAGAACTTGAACCTTGCTGTCCAGGAAGCAAAAAAAAAAATGGAGGGAGGAGTTGATCTTCATAAGGAACCTGGGGAATGAGATTTTCATTGCTACCAAATTCAAGCATTCAAAAGTTATGAGTGAGGCTGAAAAAACCTGCAAATAAATAGATAGATAGATAGGTAGGTAGGTAGGTAGGTAAAGACCCCTGACATCTAAATAAAGTAATAAATAGATGTTAAATGATTTTTATTTCCTCCATTTACTGGACTGCCAGGGAACATCTGAATCACATTTTCGAGCTTTGTCAACAAGAGGAACTAAAACATATATGTTTGTTTTTATTGCTACTGAAAATTGACATTCTCATCCAATCTCTTGAATCCAGCAGGTGTCACATTAAGACACACACAAAAGCACAATGTAGATGGTCAGATTTCAAAACCTGTCAGATCCAGGATACCTGGATGGGTCTGACAGACCCAACAATCAGACAGTGGACTAGAAAGAGCTTTGTGGTACCTCATTAGCAGGCAAGCTTTGGGTGGCTGAATGACTCCTCTGAGGTGGCAATATGGGGAAACGGCAGGGGGGCCACCCAGGAACTTTTGGAAGGGTGTCAGCTATTAAGAAACATAAAGCCTTCAGGAGCTATTAGTTGCCCAACTAAGACTTGATTTTTCCAAGTAGATGAGAGTGTACAGCTGTTGTCTCAGGAGACTCCTCACATCCCCTCATACAGAAGGAAAAGATAGGACTATCCATTACTGGACTTGAATTACCAAGGAATAGCATTTGTCTGTTTGATCGCCCAGTGGGTCAAGTACCAGTCTGTTTTGTCTCAAAAGTTACAGTGCAGTATTAGTCTGGAACTATTTTCTCTTTTACTCTTGAAGTTCAGTTGTAGGAAACTTTCGCAGGATGTGTTCCTCTTATGTGTACATAAGGGGCTTCTCAGATAGTCTACACATTGCTTTCATAAATGACTGCCAGCAGCCTGGGGATCTCTGTCCAGATGTAGTATCTAAGCTGCTTAACAAAGTGTTAACAGTATGTGAATGAAAAACTGCTGGGTTTGTACGTCAGTGAATCTGATCTTAAGGATAGACTGGAAACATCCTAAAAGACAATCTTGACATCATTATTGCAGCTTTTTCTAATTCATTATTTAGAAATCCAAGCTGTGTAACAGATTTTTGTAATCCAATATTTTAGATTATTT